ATATATATATATATATATATATATATATATATATTTAAAAAAATGTAATATAAACAGCACGTCACACTTTTCAGAATAGTTAAATTCAAACTTGAGATATTTATAACACATATAGTCAACATTATGCATATAGTGAAACCTCATTATATCATACATAATTGGATACACATAAATTTATAATTAAACTTTTTTTAAATATTTGAAATATTTATTTTGACTCTATTTTGGAAGTTTATGTTGCTTAGAAAATTTTTCAGATTATAATATTGATTAAATGAAAAATGCATGCATGAATTAAAAAATTGGCAAATTTATAATTGATTGTTGATGCACAATCACAAATAACTTTAAGGCAATGAAACCAAAATTAACGTGTGCAATCATTAATAAAAGATCATGAAGCGCGTATGTGAGTTGGAGCATACATTAGAATATTACATACGTACGATATAGCAGGGTCTTTATGTATATATGTGTGTCTGCATCAGTATGTGTATGTGTATATATTTACGTTATTTTATAGATATATATATATATATGTCTCGAGAAAATATATGAATACTGTGTAAATATATAGAGCTTAGGTATACATACGGATCAAAGATAAAAATATAATTTCAATAGGATAATATATCTCGTAGTTAACATTCATATTTAGAACTCTCTTAAATGCATTTAGGCATTTCGCATGATATGTTTTGAGTTTCCTTACACAGGTAAGTTTTTATAACGTTTGGGGGGGGGGGAGAATATCGAGACTAGTAGAGAATTAATTGTAATATACTTTCACATAAGGGATTCTCTCGGCGATTATAGCACCAATGCCGTAAAAAGCGACGGTTTGCTGAGAGTTTTTCCTTTTAATAAGACAGATGATAGGTACTCTACGCATACTGTGAGATTAGAACATTTCTGTTGTTGCTGTTTGTTATTGTTTACTGTTGCTGTTGTTGTTGTATGCGTAACGTGAGTTCAAAAAACGCTGTGCCTCCCACGATTACTTTTAAGACATCGTGCAATCGATTTAACATTGCGCTTTCTCCGACGTCAGTAACGATTAATATTATAACGAATTTCCACAGAGTAATATTTCACATAACGGTAGCCACAGACAATATATATGTATATATATATTGCATATTTAGTATTACGATTTCATTATAACGTTAGTACAATTAATGGAGCGATTTCCACGATATTTATTACTCGGTAGAGCGATTTCCGCGATTAATACTTAACAGAGCGATTTCCGCGATTTTTAATAACTTCTTTCTTTTAATGTTCATTCAGAATTTTCTTGTTTTTTTTTTTTTTTACGAACAATACGCACACCTATATATTTTCCACTAAGAGTTAAAGTGTCTCTTCCTCTTTTCCTTTGGTATATCGTATATGTGTATATTTATATATAACGCTATATCTTTGGAATATATAAGCTAGTGAGAAGCAAAACTTCTTCTTTGATATGTATCATTTACAGTATAATAATCCTCCTATGCTTTAAAATATCTTGTTGCACTCGCAACGCCACAGTACGATTTACATTACGAGTACAATATGCACACGGACAGTGTGTAAAGTTTTTTTTTCTTGTTTGGAGATGAGGATAGGGATAAATATATATCCGATATTCAAGGACAGGGATAAATGTTAGTTGAGTAAACATCTAAGTACGATTCCTAAGGGTAGATTCGAAACATCGACCGGATTCTAAGCTATTTGCGCCTTTTTCAGCTGTTCCCCCTGTAGAAAATACTTCTCCGTCTCGTTGAGACTGTCCGAACGACACTTCGCGTTTGTTCGCGACATCCGTTCATAAAATGGGAAAGAAAAAAAGCAAATACTTCGATCTGTGCGTTTGAATAATCAGCAGGACGTGCACAGTGGCGGATTTATAGGCAACCGGTTTCTTGGGGGGACCGTTAAGAGCGACGACTATTGACGGGTTCTTAAATCGTTCTGCGAATTTACGACTATTTGTGCTTGGAATGTTCGTCTGTCAGCGATAAAATAGAAAATGCCATCGTAATTGAAAATGTTATTTGGTTCCACTGCAAATGTTATTTTCAATCGTACACCTTTTTTCATGCTGTTTTATTCAGGCTTTAAATTCGCCACTGCAGACGTATATTTCTCGCCACGTCCCGCTAGACTGCTGGCATTCTAACTCGTTGAAATCTCTCGATTCCCAACTAAAAATGTAAGTCACGATTTGCAACGTATCGACGATAGCTCTGTTTGTTTTAGCTGCATTATCTTTATCTTGCTATTCTGTCAAAGGCATGACAATATATTTTATAAACGACAAAATTTCAACAGCCAAACGGCGCTTAAAAATTTAGAATGCTTTCCGGAATTATTCATGACACCTTTTAAATATTTCTGGTTTGAGTTCTCATTTTAATGTATGCGTTAATGTAGAAATGTTTCTCACACGCAGAAAGTGATTTCTCCTTGTGTAAATGTGCATAATTTATACGTAGTAGATTATGTTTATTTGTGTCAATATATAAATTATTTTGATAAGTTTTGAAAGAAATATTCACGATAAAACTTTATCGTATACACGCCACTGTAAAGTACGTATAGACTACACAAGCAAGTGCAGCTAAAAATGCAGCTAAAAAACACAGATTCGATCAATAGTCGATTCTTATAAACGTTATCGTTCGCGGTATTAGTATTGAAATTTCTTACATTGTTAAAAAAAATTTCGTTTGCAATAATATTGTATCAGCAGTCATTATGGACATTATATATGGACGTATATTATTATACTGTTTTTTTTTTTTGAAAGATAGAACTTTGCTGATCGATAGATTCTATAGATTAGCTTGATGAAAGTACAGTTAAGCAATAGAAATGAAAATTGTCAGTGTCAATACCGCGACGATAATAAAGACTTTATCTTCTTTTGTGCACGCCTTTCCGCCTCATTTATTATACTTATCACTATAACCACGACTTATCACGAACAGTTATAAGTGATCCACTAATCTTTTACTATAATTCGAAAGGAAAGCTCAATCGGTAGACTGGTAGACAAACCAACCGTCTAGTGAAACTTTTCTCTCAAACGTCCCCATATATACCTTACCCCTAAATCAATAAGAAACATCTTCGTATCGAACGGCGCTCTTATTCATCAGCGCGCTCTTCTTCTTTATCACGACTACGCTAGCGTGTCCCTTATTTCTAGAGACCTATGAGACGGGTTACTATGATATGTGTTGCGGATTCTTCAGTCGTGTTGTATCCGAAGAAGAAACAGCCTCGAAGTAACACCTCCCCGAGTAACACTTATAGTTTCATCTTTTTTTTTTTTTATCGCATGGTTCTTACTTTACTATCGCAATATTTCCCGGTGTATTATTGGCGTAGAGGAGTGTCAGGACTAGGAAGGAGATCCAGATAATGTCGAATCGACAGACTTAGATCTAAGTTATCTTCACAACGACTAAAGGAGGATTTGATTTTCTCGTAGCTTATCTTATACTATATACTTCCCCTCTGTCGTGCTGCCAGGTACGACGAGCGTGCGTTTAGGCGAACGGCATCCGCTTGAACAGACGGTTGCCTTGTCCGGTGATCCGTTTCTCGCCGGAGGTGTACTGGATCACGGACTTGATCTGATCTGTCGCCACCGGGCCGATGCAGACTAGAGGGTCCTTGAAATACGAGCAAACCTAGAAAAATATTTGAGATGCGTTAAGGAAAATATCAGGAACAAATTGCATTCGTCGGTCGCTTATATGTTTAAAAGTTAAAATATTATATTTAAAAAAATAAAAATTTTTAAGCTCTATTAAAAAAATAGTATTCTAAAATATTGATTTTTCTCTCTCGATATATTTTTCGACTTCTTCAAACACTGTTGTATTTGTTGCTACCTTTCTGGGAGTTTGTCGGTGTCGCCTTTGCAGTTGACAGCACAGCCCACGGCTGATGTCACACTCGCCTGACATAGTGCATTCTTCATCTGTAACAAGTATATGATTTGTACGATAAAATTTGCACACAATCTCGTAGAGTAATATTTTCTATATTTTTCAAGAATAAAATGTGTTTATCCACGCACTGTATAATTTATTCGAAGTAGTCGGCGGCTGACACGATTTTGTTTCGCGTCCAGGCATTTCCGCGCACATCAAGCCAGTTTCGCAATTGCTATCCCTCCTGCAGAGTTCGCCTTGCTTCATACCGAAATCGAAGACGCATGTTCCAACAACTAGAATGCCATACTTGTGATTATTTTCTTATCAAAAGAACAAGTGGTGAGAAATAAGATGTTTTTATCGTTTTCAATTGACTGCAGGAAATGAGATCAGAAAAATTTTTTTATTGTAGAGTATTTATGCTTTTTATTTACCTCCATCGATATTCACGCAAATAGAACCTGGGCAGCAATGATCATTGTACACGCATTTTCTCTCGTAACAAGGTTCTTCTGTGGATTCGCCTCCTTCGTATATGCCGTTATATCCTTCCTGAAGAGATAGCTTTGTTAAAGATGTATTATTTAAGATTATTTAAGATTATGAATGTGGAATGTGAATTTGAGCTTTTTACAAAATAACTTATTCGAAATTAAAGAGTAAAAAACTTAGTAAAAAAAAATTATTGTTCTACCTTTAATTAATTAAATATCCACATATAAAGTATTTCGGAAATTTAAGTGAAATTGATTTCACGATTGTTGAAATTCCATCGCTAAAATCGAACTCTGAAAGATGTAATAAAATATCTTGTACACAAAATTGAACAGTTGTGCCGTAATCTCTGAGAAATAGTAATCTTTCTTATAGCTGATTGCATTTTTATTTAATTATCGGCTTCTAATTATCGGACTTATCTATATCCGGAACTTTTCTGAATCAATGTTTATTGCGTGATGCAATTTTCTTCCGTTTTGTACGAGGTCAACGATAATGCTCTCGTTTCCAGATTTATTATAAATATTTGTTTGAATTATTATGCATGTCAACTTTCAGTCACATAAGCAAATGTATAAATAAAATAATTATTACGGCGCGCATATATTTTAATTTTTATTTCCGTTTACTATTAAATAAGTTATAGTTAGTTCTGTTATTTAAAAAAGTTTTGTAGCGCTTAATTAAACACGCGAAGGAGATTATCTAGCGTACATACACAAGGCTGCAGGTCGAAAGCTACTCGGATGTTATCAGACTCAAATAATAAAGAAACTGTAACTCCATCGCAGTTGAAACGCAGTAAAAGTTTCCATAGTAGTAGGTAACAGTAGTGGTAATTCCGCGTATATCGGGCAATTGCGGGGGCGATTCTACTCAATCTCAGGATCGCAATCTCGGGCTTAATTCACGGACGATGTGGAAGAAAAGGGAAATAAACGGAGTTATAGGAGAGTTCCTCTCGCGGTTATGCAAGTGCAAGTGCACGCGGCTCGAAAATGAAGTATCGATCGTGCGTGACCCGTACTGCGGCATAACGCTGTTAATTAAATAAAACAATGAAAATTTCAAGATTCTGAAAAAAAAACTGGAAGAGACAATTGGAAAACTTACAAAATTTTTTGGACTTTTATCTTCAATGTTTAACGTGGAAGCTTGAAATTGAATTTTTAACGAAAAAAAAAGTCAAAGCAGCAACAAAATTATTATTTTATTTGTAGTCACTGCTTATTAAATACCGACACAGAATATTTTGAAAGTTTAAATTTTTATATGTTTAAATAATATCTGATGATGATGAGGACATTTTTTACATTTTTATTTTTAAATTTAGAACTCTTGATTGCTAAAAGGATGATCGATGAACGATTTGTGGACGCTTGGAAAGTTGCAACATATTTTACATGTTTTCACAATGTTGTTAGGCGAAAATGTGAAAATTTAATACTTAACTTCTCTCAACAATGTTTTGTAATTTTTGTATTTTGCTCTAAAAACGTTCGAGAGATAAAAATATATGTTGCAATTTTTTAATTTTAATATTTTGCGTTTATCGAAGAAAAATTGTATTAAACTTTCTTCGACAATTGTTAAATATTTCCAAGAAAAGTGCTTTTGTAGATACCTGCAATAGCCCAGGACGGTTCATGTAACCTCCGTGACTGCCGTAGCCGAGGTTAGACAGCATTTCGGGGCTGAAACGGTTGAAGAGGCCACCCCACGCCTCGACAGCTTTATACGATGAGCTCGCCACAAACACTAACGTTATTATCGTACAGGCTTTCATATTGTTGGCGATAATCTGATCTTCGGCACTCTGCAATTATTCGAGGGAAAAAAGGTGTTTGTGTGAAATTGCGTTGAATTTCTGGGTTGAGTTTATCAGAAAGATTCACAGTATAATCAGAGAGTATATTGAAAAGAGTATGTTAACTCATTACGTATTATTGCGCAAATACACGTACATACGTTGTGTGTACTCCTATAATTATTTAATAAATAATTAAAATAAAATCTTCGTTAGAAATTTTTTAAATATATTTTTGAAGCTCGGCATTTATTTTTATATTTGGCAGCAAATATTATATCTCAAACATTTTTTTAATTTATAAAATTTACTACAAGATAAAAATTCATTAAATGGATAAAAAATTTACCGTTTAAAAAATTGTTTACCGGTTCAAAAATACGATCAGCATTAGCGTACTAAAATTCAACTAGCCCGAGATATAAATATAAAACTAAATTGTATTTATAATAGATGCACAGTCCGCAAAAATCAGTTTACAATTTAGAATAAAAACAAAATAGGTATTTAAATTGTAAATTGAAAGAATTTGTTACCGTTTAAATTGCAACAAATTTTACGCAGTTCTCTCTCTCTCTCTCTCTCTCTCTCGTATTTCTCGCGGGTATATTTTATTTCCGTGTTGCTTACCCCAACTGTTTTTGTTGTAAGCAGTGATCCGTAAGACGCAGTTAGCCGTTAGTATCGAACCCGCTTTATATGATGCCTTATCATACAGATGCCGGTGACGTAATGCTTTTACTACTTTTTTCAAAGCGCTCTTTTCGCGGTCGCTGATGCGATTTCATAATGCATATATGACCGATAAGACATTTTTCATGCTAATTTATTGACATGCAATTTATTGACGTCACTATTATTCAAATTAATTTTTTTCCCGTACAGTTTTCTTTTATTCTCATCAGTAATATATTGCGAAATGCCGCGTAATTGTAATCTGTTGCGGTATTAATCAAGCAATTAATATATGAATATGTCTGAGAGCTTATCGATTGCAGTCGCTCAACGTGAATATTTAAGATGATAATTGGGAGATGTGACCAGTGTTTCGATAGATCGTTTTATACGTCGACTGAGTATTAAATGTTTGAACAATACATTAAGCTGTTTATAAAAGATCGAAAAATGCAACGTGCTACTTTCATATTCCGGTCAAGGACTAACTAGCAATTTATGATAATTCAGAATATGAATTGCACAATCAATAACAATAACCTCGAGCGTATGATCGATAGTTCTTATTTTACCGATGTTTTTACCGATCCTTTTTTCACCTGTGGTGAAATTTTCTTGCAATATTTAACACACATTATTTCAATGGGTCACAAAAAAGATAAAACTACAATTAATAAATTTAAAACAAACTTTATAAGTTTAATCTACTTTTAGGTTTTTATAACGTAATTTATTTTTCCGTACCAAAGTAATTAAATCGTATAAATGCTCAAACATTATTGAGAAAAAGTTTTTTTTTTTTTTTTACTTCAATAAATTTGATCCTATTATATTTTAGCATTACAGTGTGACTGTTTTTTGTGTACAAAATGTTTATGGATGTTTCAAGGGCAAGGGCTTCGAAAAACATAACGTGCAGGATATTATATGATGAAACGCTTATGATACAATATCTACACCCACTCTCACACCCTAAATATCTAGCTCACATCTTTCGTTGTAAAGTTTAAGCCAATGATTTACTTACAAAACGTTTGCGTCCTGGCTAGGCTCGCCTGGAACGCCTTTGCACCTCGGCCGGGTAGGATCAGCTACCGCTCGGGTAGGTAAGTCTACACTGGATCAACAAGTCCTCGGTGTGGAGTTCGCTGGAGGACTGAGTCCGTACCGCGCTCGCTTCGGCAATCTATACTTCTACGTCGTTCCGGTTGCCGTCGCAAGGGCGCATGCGTCACCCGCCGCCGGCCTGTCTTCTTGGTCTCTTTTTTTTTTCGCGCCACCCGATCACGACCTACGTGACATTTTGTTCATTCAGATCTTCGGCTTCCTATCTATCGAGCGGCCCGAGATAGCCGGCCGAAGGAGCTACTCGAACGAATTCGTCCCGATCACTCAGAGCTACTCGTACCGACGTGTGAAAATGACATGTGAAGCACCGATAATGACACGATCGAATGGGACAATGGTATAATAATAAGTCATTACTTTTTTTCACCTCAATGATGTTTGTACAGGCATTTAATAGAAAATCCAGTCACTTTACTGTAGTACTTGTTTTTTTTCTTTTAAATTTTTTTTTGATCTTATAGAAGGGAAAATCCAAAGCTTCGCGCTGAAATCACGCTGAAATCATAAATGCAATTTTTTTCAAAGCACTGCGGAACATAAATAAGTTGCGTCTCTTTCGCGAATTATATCATTATCTTCCGGGATATCGCTTTGTCAGCAAATATGTTTAAGAAAACGCGATGTTCTGCAACATCCGCGGAGAAATGAGCAATCTGATCTGTGAAAGGTCAAAGATAACGAGGTAATCTCGTTCGCCCTAGTGCAAGCCCGACTTTGAAGAGGGTTCTTTGTGTCGGGGAATTTTCCTGGTTCTCGTGCCCGTTGTTATATTTATCTTGGCATGTGTTCCCAACAATATCACGGACAACGGAGCGCTGGAGCCTCGTGCGCCAGGACACGTCGACGCCATTCATCGGGCTTATCTCGCGTTCGCTATAGCTCGCTCCTTGTTGCGCTCCTTACGCCGCCGTTAGTTTCGTTCTCTCTTGGCTGTATTGATCCAAGGTATCCTGATGTGCCCGCCGGGCGGTCGCTCCTGCTCCATATACCCGCTCGCGAACCCCCCTGCGTGCTCCCTTATGTATACCGGGATAGTTGCGAAGCAAAAACAATCGTAATATTTGGCCTGCTACTGTTTACATCTTTCAAGCCTGAGTCTGCAGTTTATTGGAAAGATTTGAATTTTTCATGAGAGCTCTCTGTGCGACTGCAGATGGTTCTGCATTTTTTACGGAATCTTTGAATAGACTAGTTTTAGCGTTTGAGATGATTTTCATATTTATTTTAATATTTGATTAAAACAGTGATATCAGATATTTTCGTTAGAAAAATACAAAGAAGAGAATTATTCGAATATTTAATGCAATATTTAACGTGAATTATTATTATTTTATTTTGTTAGTTTGTTTGGACTTGTGAAAAGATTCCTGACTCATGTTATCGAAAAATTATTTTACTATCAAGGAAAGAGTTATGTTGATTCGTACATTTTAAATAACATAATATTTTTTTAGTGAAGTAAATTACTTTTACGTTATAATTTATAAAAAATATAAATTTTTATCGGGCTACATTCATTTCGATATAAAAAATGTTTCAAGTTTCTCACGTTTTCTTGTATTTACGTTACTGAACGAATTGAACCTGATCTCTCCTTATAAAATTTTATTTTGCGCGTCATCATAAATTTTCTCACTTTTAAAGCGTCAACTTTAATATTTTTTGTGACAAATAACCTTGAAATCTAATAATGGCGTTATCCTTCTTTTTTCCGCAAAGGGCATTCAGCGGACACTTTCGCGGAGGAAGAGAACGAGTTGGCAGACGTGCGGAAATCTTCGCGGCAAACGCATTTACCGTCCACGACGCAACCACCTGTGCGACGAAATGCCAGAGTACACGGTAAGTACATAAAAGCTCATATATAAATCTTTGCATATGCGTCGGGTCGCGTCATGTATGTATGTGTACGCCGCACGCACCATTAAATCGCGTTGCTTCTTTCCGTTCCGACGTTTCACGGCGTAGCTCCGAACGTTACTTTGGCCTTGCGTGTCACGGTTAACAGGTCTCGGAGACTTCCGAGAAGTTTCGTCCACCGTGGCAGAATAAGTGTATTGTGTTGTGGATAGCAAAGCGCGCGCATAAGCAGACAGGGATGATTTAGTAGATACGTCTGGCGATACTTATCGCCCACGTGAAATTTGTTTTTCCCCAGAGGGTCAGCCACTGTGCCACTCATTGATTAGTCTGACGTGCGCCAGACACGCGTCCTTTTACTACTGAACAGAAATACGGCATTAGATGTTTGTTCGCATTCTGTTTGTTTGGAGTTAACTTTTCGTTCAAACGATTTCAATTAATTCCATGCACGTTAAATAAATCCGATTAATTCAGTGATATTCTTTTATTTGGACTTTGCTTTTATATTAAACAATATTTTTCCACATTTTCAATTAATTTCTAGACAATTTTTTGCCTTGTAATATGGAAATTAATTATTTTAATTAAATTTAAATGTCGTTTTATCAATTTATTGTCTTTTGCTTGAATTTTATTAATTCTCTGCCAGCATTTACAAAATTTGTAGATGGCATTTATATTTTATATATGATTTTGGCCATCAGCAAACGCATTTTACTTTCTGCAATTGGCACGCAATTGATTTTGTAATATTTTATCTCATAATTTCACGTTATCATTATCCCAAATTTTATGAAATACAATAATAAGAATCATAATGTACTGATAAATGTTATTGATAATGGTAACTGTACTTTCAAGGAGTTTTTTTTCTATTTTGAATAGAACATTTGTAGATACTTCACGCACGACTGCACTTAACAGAATTGATATTCAAAGATCTTAATCGGCAGCACGATATTTCCTCCTATCATTGTACCTAGAGCTGTACACTTTATCATTATCCACTTATTCATCACGTAAATACAGCGGTAAAACAATACTCGCAATTTAATAAGATAACAAGAGGTACTTTAAGGTTAACTTAAAACAATAATTTCAAAATTAGAAAAGTCGTAGAAATGCAAAACATTAAATGTCATTTACGTACGAAAAGAAAATGATTCTAAAAATTAATTACAATTACAATTTTAAAAATAAATTAATAATATTCTAAATCTAAATATTGTATTCTTTCGAATGTAAATAATAATAAAATAATAAGTAGTTGTGGAGAAAAGTTATGTTAAAACTTTGTTTTTCTATTGGAAAATTATATAGACTCACTGGCAGCACATAGTGATATTTGATTTCTAAAGTAATTTCCGGTTTTAGAGACGATACAAACATTATAGAATTACTGCGCGTAGGTGGAGGCTTGTGATAGGTGTAAGTTTATGTGCTACTGTTCGATTTTTATCGTTGCCATGATCTTTCAAACATATATTAAACAAATGATAGGAAACATTAGATAAGCACCGGAAGCAGCGACGTCATTGTAACGATGACGTCATTGATACGTAATAATGTGATGAGGATATTAAAAGTCCGATCGATTTGAAGAATATTTGTCGCTATTTTTAATGAAAAGATCATATCGCGGCGCGCAGTTTGCATGGCGTCGTGACGTCAAGAGATTTCGTCTTTTATTTTCGTACGCGGAGTGTTGGTGGCGAATAAAATAGACACACACATGTTGTTGTCGTATAAAAATGTATTTAATAAATAACATCTAGCAACAAGAAATAAATAAGGCTTGAGGCTCATCTTTATGTATTTATACACGTATCGCAGAGCTGGCGTATGCGCGGAGCAGAGCGGATAATTGCAGTTATTTAGTTTTTGCCGAAACATAAAAATATAAGATCTGATAGATCTATGAGGAGAAATGTGGAACGTGGAATTTATTCATACATGAGAATATCTCACTTTGATGCCGCTTAGAAGTTGACTCTACGAACACATGTATACAAGCGTAAAGGCGAGTTTAAACATTGATACGCATATAAATGCAACGTTGAGCGCCGGTCGCGCGCCGAGAAGCAGTGTTCTGCCGCGGACAATTCCGCAGAATCTTATTTCGAAATTTAAATAACACGGGAAGCAGGTTGGTGTGTACTTTCCTCGCTCGCTGTTTGCACAGTGACGCTCGCTCGGTGTAAGTCGTTGGCCATGCAAGTGTTAGTTCCGTTCCGCTAATGGAAAACATGAAATAACGGTGGAGGGGAGCGGGGCGTCGCTATTATTTAAAAATCGAGGCAGCACTCTGACGTTTCTTCCGGTTAATTCCACGGTTCTGTTACTTAATTGAGTTTCGTATGCTCTATTCCCGAGGGGAAATAAATTAGGCTTCTTTTGTACATTTATACAGAGAATGGCACCGGGTGCCGCTCACGTAATCACGCGCAGACGTGATCGTCGATCACACCGGCTCCTCAGACGCCGGTGATGCTGTGCAGCCAGGGCTTGAAGTAGGTCGTCCTCATGTACACACCCGGCAAATACGGAGACGCGCATTTTATACCGTGAGAAACGGTCCCGACGAGGAACCATCTGCCGTCCGGTCGTTCCATAACCAGCGGGCCGCCGCTGTCACCCTGAGAAAGATCATAAACCGCTATCTACATTGTTTATTTAAAACTTGTCAGTAGTCATATTACTGCAAGATATCAGCAGGGCATTAATATGTAGTCATATTACTGCAAGATATCAGCAGGGCATTAATATTGATATACAGGGAAAAAAATGTGCTAAAGTAACAGAACTGAAATGATAAATAAACGGGAATGTTGCCGCGTGAATTTTTTACGTATAATTGAGAGAGTAATCATGTTATTTAGCGTGAGATCGGATAAGACTGATAAACGAAACGAGTTAATATTCTTTCTTCGGAATAAAAAATTAAATTTACAATGAAATATTGCGGGATCGAAATACGGCCGTTAACTGTAATGGATTGATATTCTTCTTCTCGGAATAAAAAAATTACATTTGCAATGAATTAGCGTGGAATCGTATAAAGCTGATAACTGAAATAGTATTCTTCCTCTGGAATAAAAAATTAAATTTTACCATGAAATAATGGAGCATAAATGAGAATAGCTGATAAGCGGACTTTGCACGTGTGGCTAACAGAATAATCATTATACTTGGCGTATGATCAAAGAGACACCGCTAATAGCCAGAACAGTTAATAAGCTAATGGAGCACGATGAGAAGCGAAATCGTTCCGTGGATTACCTCACAAGAATCCTTCTGGCCGTTAGCGTATCCTGCGCAGAGGAAGCTCTCCAAAATCAATTTCGAGTGTCCGCCAGTTTGGAACATCTCCTGGCACACGGCGTTTTCCATTATCGGCACCTGAACCTCCTGCAGCACAGACGGTACGCCACCATCTGTTGAAACGATAAACGCACGATTCCGTTAGCAGTTTCTTTGACAGTGAATTGACGCGCGAAAAGAAAGTCGCGATAGAGCCGCGAGCAGAATTCGGGCGCGTAGGAGACCGCGCGAGAGTCATCGTGAAAGTTGTTACTCCGCTCTCGTCACGGTAACCTGTTCCATTTTGTGCTTTCTAGTCTTCGCGGGGAAACTTTGTCAACGTAACGCAGACACGTGATTCACAAAATCGGGCGTGCGAAAGATCGATACTCACTGTATTTAAGCCGGCCCCAGCCCGTGACCGTTGCCATGCGACCCGTGAAGTCGATGCCGTCGTTCGGCATGCAAATCGGCACGATGTGCTCGTCGAATTGCACCGGTGACTCCAGCTCCAGAAGCGCCAGGTCATTCTCGAACGTCGCCGGATCGTAACCGCGGTTCACGATGACGCGGCGCACGTTCTTCGTTACGCTGCGTCGCGGTTCCAGCTCCCCCGAAATGTCGAACTCGCCGAACACCGCGACCAAGGAAGCCAGAAAACTGTCAACAGCGAAATTGATTTTCGCATTAGCGAAGTACGTGCAAATAATTTCGAAACCTGCCAAATTTAATATGTCACTCCCGTTAAAATCGTTATAAATTAATGATACATAATTGATTTTTCAAAAAACTAAAATATTAATAGGAGATGAAAATTATTATCTCGTGAAACAAGAAAGATAATACGATCGTAAATCGTGTATTTTATACGAATTGTTCGTTTGGTTTTTATTTTTGGCAAAGCTTTGTAAATTTTTATCACTTACCCTGGTTGACAGTGGGCTGCTGTTATCACATATTTGTCGGTGATCAGCACACCTCCGCACTTATTCTTCGTGAACAAGCCAAGCCAGGTCGCCTCTCGAACTAAGACTTGCCACGGCCATTCTCCGAATTGTGCGCCCTTTCCGCCTACTATTTTCCCCGCTCTTGAGACAAGAGGTCTCACACCGCATTCTGTTAATATAAGTCACTCTTCCATATTACTCTATATTATATTTACAATATCAATTTTAGTAATATAATCACAATAATTGTGCTATTAAAATATGCTTTTCACATGCTTTCATGAAGAACTTGAGGCAGAATTTAAAGTTTGAATGAAAAATAAGGATAAGACGCGCGATTTAAATTTAGATGTTCGAATTTCAGAAAATTTTTATAAAAGTCTTTTTACTTCAAACTTGTCGATTGCTCACTTACGAGTCCGAAAGTTTGGCTCAGCACTCGTTTCCGCACTGCTGCTTTCAGTCGTGTTCGATGAGATTACACTCGTTTCTTGAATCGCTTCCGTGCTGCTGGGCGCCGCAGTCGTGACTTTCCTGGTTGGTTTCGGACGTTTCGTCGTTGCTTGAGGTTTCTTCGTTGTGACGCTCTGTATTGTGCTTGGTTTAGGCCTCGATGTTGTCACTTTTGTAGGGCGCGTTGGTTTTTCGGGCGATGCCGGTCTTTGAGTGGGACGAGTCGGCCTCTTCGTAGTTGCCGACGGCCTCTTCGTCGTCGCTGATGATGATGACGACGGTTTGGTCGTGGGCTTTCGCGTCGGTTTTCTTGTCGTAGTATTTCCACTAGTCGGTCTTCTTGTTACGGTAGGAGTTGTTGTTGAAACCTCGGTGGTGCCATTTCGATAGACCACCTCTTTTAGGTCCTAAAAAGGCGATTGGAAAGAAAGAGAATAATTATAAAAAATTTTCCATCTTGTTAGAAACAAAATGTTTACTTATATTGTTTTTTTTTTGCTTTCTTTATTATTCATATCATACGCTGTTTGATGTAATTTTTTTATTGTTTAATCTTTGCATAAAGAAACAATTAAAAATGCAAATACGAAATTAAGATTAAATATTCAAAAATAATGCATAAAAATAATACGTAGAAATTTTAAAATGCAAAGAGCTACAAAAAGAATAAAAAAGTTGAAAGCAAACTTTTTCGGTCTTGCCGTCGAAATTAAGATTAAATATTTAAAAATAATGCATAAAAAATAATGGGTAGAAATTTTGAAGCGCAAAGAGCTACAAAAAGAATAAAACGGTTGAAAATAAACTTTCTCGGTTTTGACGTGTAGGAATGATGAAATTTTAACCTGTGTTTATTAGATGAAAGATCAGTGCTACTTCAAAGCGTTGAAAGGTAAACTGCGTCCGCGTAAAACCCGAAGCAATTTGGAACTTTAAGTGGTGCGACGTGTAAACCTCTCGCAAATAGATTATTTCGCTCATTACCTGGAAGTTGCCCTGCAGCGATTCCATGATCTTGTTGACGAAAGCGTCAACTTTATTCGTCAGTACATCATCCTCAATAAACGTGGGCGTCGGGATGTCATTTTCGCTGATGAGCTCGATATCCGGATAGCCAGCGGTGTTGTTGTACGTCTCGACGATCGTCGGCTTTTCTTGCTGCGAGATCGGCGTGGAGATATTGAGATTCGGGTTGCGTACCGGCGGGAAGTTGATGAGATCGTCCGGAGCCGCGGTTTCGTCATCGCACGGTGTAGTAGTGGTGCTAATTTTGTTCTTTGTGGTATCCTTGAACACCAAGTTGTTGACCGGCGTGAGATTGTTGTTCGTCCAGGTGTAGCTGGGCGTCGACGGCTTCAGATAGAACGACGGCTTGTCCGACCACGAGGAGATCGTGGTCCAAATCACGGGCCTCTTCGTGGTCGGTCGGCCCTTTGTGCTCGCCGGCGCGATCGCCTCTGTGCTGACGTCGAACGTCGGTCTCGCGCTGGTGCCGTCTTTCAGATTGACGCTTATGTAGCTGGTGGAGACGACGTTGTTGGTGGCGACGTTGGAGATGACGGTGCTGATGTTGTGCGTAATTGTGGTGGATACGCCGGGGGGCTTTCTGGTGCTGACAAAAATAGGTCGGGTATTTCCGGGAGTGGTTTTGATCGAAGTGTAAGCAGGCTTGTTGGTCGGCTTTCTCGTCGCGGACTTTTGCGTCGTCTCCGTGGTGTACTCTGTTCCGAGAGGACCGAGAACGATAACCGTCGGTGCCGGCGGGTTCGTCGTCGGTCGACTGCTGGAGTGCGTTCCTCCGAGGCTGCTGCTGGAAGCGCCGGAATGCGTGGACGGACGCGAGCCATACGGGCTCGACGTTGAATAATACGAGGATGTGTAGGACGTCTCGGTGGGGACGAGCTCGTAATTATAATATGTCGACGAGGGCCCGTGATGCGAGCTGGGTCTGTAGAAATTGTAGGGGAAGGTCGAGGACGCGGGCGTGGTGGGTCGATAGCTCGCCGAGCTGACCTTCACGTGGTGGGAGGGCTTTGACGTTTCGTCGATGCTCACCCAGGCTTGAATCGGCGATGAATTCGGCTCCGGAAGCGTGACCGACACGTCTGAATTCGGCGTGGTGTCGTTCAGAATGGAAATTATATGATGGATGGCGATTTCCTCCTTGTCCAGGACGTCGTCCTTTTTCTTGTTAGGCATGTCATAGATAATGGTCGGCACCTTCACCAGCTCATCTTTCACGGCGTTCATGGGTGTGGTGGCTTCGATCTCCGCCGCTTTCGTCGACGTCTTCTTCTCGATCGTGTTGACTTTCTCGAAGGCGTTCGTCACGGTCAATTGCGCGCTGGCTGGATTGCTTGTGGATTTCTGTACGTTGGTGTACATCTGGGTTACCATTGGCATGCTCGTTATTAAGGTCGATTTTGGAGTTTGCGACGTGGACGTGAACTCTATCGTCGAAGACACAGGTTGATCCGGAAACTTGATCCACGTGTCCGGCGTGCTTCCGTCCTGCGTTACTTTTTTGATGGACGTTTCCGTGGACGGTCGGAAGATCTCATCCGGATTGTGTGTTTCCTGCAGCATAGTGCCATTCTCATTCAGCAAAATCGTCTCTGGATCGCTGTGATTATTCTTGCCTAATCCTTGCGAAAACAGCTGGGGAAGTTGATCCACCGGATCCGCTATTTGCAAAACTTGATCCGGATTCAACAACGTGGCAATTGGATCTTGATGGTTCTGAGCATTGTTGTTAGAGTCTGAATGGGACAACAATCCTGGTAGATTTAAATCATCCACGATATCTTGCTGACCCAGGAGAACCGGAAAGTCGTCGACTAGGTGGCTGATGTCCGGCTGCTCCGGCAGCTGCGTTTTTTCAGCATTATTTGCCATGTCCGGCGATGACGAGGAGCCCTGATTCGAGCTGGAAATCTTCGTATACGTTGTTTCGCCACCGTTCAGATGATTCGTGACGCTCGGTTTGTCGATTTTTGTAGTTTCGCCGCTCGACGAAATCGACATGCCAATTGGCGTGCCGTCTGGGTTCAGTAAAATGGGTATATCGGGCACATGATCGATTTGATGCACGTTGTAGAGATCCTCGGTGCTGGACGGACTGCCGTTATCGCTTGTCGAGCTCTTCGGCGGCAATTGGCAACATGCACCGAAGAGAAAACCGTCCATACAGGCGCCAACTACTTCGCCGTTGCGCCGCGTGCATTCGTAATTGAACATACATATCGGCGGTTCATTCGTCCTGAACCGTGACGGCATCGACGGCCGACACGCTTTCGGCACTATCGTGTAGCCGCCGAATAGCTTTCTGCCTGAAAAATAATTTGAGAAATTTGTGAAAGATCAGATACTAGAGAATGCATGATTTTCCTCTTTTCTTTTAAACACCTTTTTATATTTTAATTTTATTTGCATATTACTATATATATTATTTGGATTATGTTTTAGTTATACTTGAATTGCATTACGTGTAAAAGAAAATCTGAAAAAGATATGAACAATAAAATATTTTATGGGACATTATTTATAAGAAATAGGATTAATTCTTTCATGCAGCAGGAGAGATTATTTCGATCTCGGCTTTAATTCTCTAATGCAACTTTAAGTCGAATGTAAAATTTATTTTAGCATGATTTAATATGCTTAAAGATTGACGCGACATGATTTCTATTTTCGATTTTGCCTTCTCATATGCACGACCCAATTTGGCATAATATAATTTAACTAATAATTTAAGTCTCTACATTATACAGCATAATCTAGCAAGTGTAATAAAATATAATTGTCAATATAATTGTCGGTGAGAAAATTTACAGCTCTCATATAGTATCGGTTTAGTCTCCAAGGCTTGAAGAGGGATTAGAATGAGAATAAATTAGAAATTCATATATACAAAAAAGTTTACGCGACGTTTTTATAATTCTGTTGTTTATTTCGTGTAGATAATATGGGAAAGCTTATACGATTTTTAAAAGAGAGATAAAGGAGTGCAATTTTCATAAGTAACTATAATGAATTATTATCATTCCGGGCACGTCGCGTCGCATGATGCGAAGAGGAAGCTTCCGAAGACCGCTCCGTTTGGTATTTGGGTTGCGGAATAGTACCGCACTCACGTAGCTCGAAACACTGCTCCAAATTTCAGTTTACCTTTGAAGAGAAATCAAATATTGAATAGAGAATTTATTGGTCGCGATGTGCCCGTGGAACGTTAAATAACCATTCTCCGCGCTGACCAAAAATACACATACGTCATTTATCTTGCAATGATTCTGTTTTAATCGTCGAAATATTGAAATCAGATGAACGAAGCATGTAGAAGTAAGAGGAGTATAAACGCAGACCAAACATTGGTCTATTTAAGAAAAGAGAACGAAAGGAAAGTTTTATTTTTTCAACAAACTGTATTATAGCATCTTTCATTAACTCCGATGCTTCAGTGATAATGTTACCTCTTTATCTTTTGCTTTTTTTATTTCGGACATACTCGCACTCGAGAGAAAATATGAATCATCGATAATATATCGAGTTAACGTCGGGACAGTGAAAAAACATCGGTTAAGAGATGTACGCCCGTTTGCGCGCGTATGTTGTGTTTGCACACACGCGGTTATCTTTCTCGGTTATGCTTAGCTGACCAAAGCATAGACGAGCAAGCATGTAGGCTCTTCGCCGCACACGTGTCTTCTACACGCTCGCACACTGCCGATATATGATGACCTACTCCACGATCCGCAATGCTTGTCTGGATCTCCTCGACGTTCCAGATTTTTGCTACGCGCGTACTCTCGCGTCTTGCTCATCCACGCCGTGTTTATCATCATCGGTATGCTGCATTCGCTCGCTGTTTCTAAATAACACGTACTCAAAGAACACAAACTCGCCGTAAAGTTATCTGAAAAACGTTGCATTTTTTTCAGACGCGTCTACTACAAACGAATACTCTACATTTTTGTACATATAATTACGGTATTGATTGAATGTAATACGTTATGATATGGAAAATTGCACATATTCATGCGATAAGTAAACGATAATAAAAATAAAATTGTACAATACAAAATAATAAAAATTTGCGGTGAGCTTTTTTTTTAATATTAGAACAAGAGATATGAAGAGGTGACGACGTGTTTGTTAAATTATGTGGGCGAAATGAGAAAGCTTGAATCCTCAGTTGATTAGGAACTCAAAGTGTTCGAGTCGTTATCTTTGCATACCGGGGCTTTGATACGCAAATATGTTTTCTCATGTGAAGAAGTTTGCATATTTTTCGCAGAGTTGTGACCGCGGGCTACTCAACTTTCTTTTCCATGCGACGCGGAAAAGAGAGTGGGCAATTTGCAATTTAGATTAGCAAGATTGTGCACAGTGTCGCGGGGATATGGGTTGGCTACGTGACTCGCCTGTGTGTGTGTGGAGAGTCGCGATTATGTCCATTGTATGGTACGTAAGGTGCGCGCCCCACGGTCAAGCAAAAAGTCTGCGCGATTTTTATGAAAGCATAAAATTCGCGCTGCTTGATTAATCATTGCGAGTCGCGTGACGTAACGACGCGCATTAAACGTTTCTTGTCGATTTCATGTATAATGGAATTCCGCTTAAAACGGGAAACGCTGCATTAAGTATGCACGATTCCCAAAAGCTTCGCGGCAAGCGTCGCGAATTATTGATGCGAATTAAATCGAACGCACTATATTGCTCCACAAGCGTTTCCAAGATCCGGACTGTTTCGAGATTTATCTAGATTATGCAGATTATACCTCGCGTCTAAAGAAAAGAGAAGGTACTAACGCAGTCAACACTTTATCGATCAATCAATAACCAGATCGCGTGAAAATGGTTAGTTTAGAAAACATTTATTACAGCATTAGATGAATATCGCGATAAAGATGATGATGCGTAATTTTCTGCGGGGAAATTTATGTGTCTAGAAGTAGTTTCCTACTTATCCTACTTCAACGAGTAAAATATACATACGGAACAACGAGTAATAATTAACCTCCTGCGGTCGTACTTTCTGCCTCTGTGTATGCACGTGTCCCTCGACACGTATATTTTTACGCTGACAAAGTAGGTGCGCTTTGAGACAAAGAATAATAATAATAGCAGCAAGAGTAATGTAAACATCATTTAAAAGTTGGCGCAATTAAGAAGATTTGCTATTCTGTATTTTACATTATTTTCAACAACAACGTACAAAAAGTTTTATCAACTACGTAGAATAAAATTTGACAGAAATGAATAGCGTGCTAGGCAACAAATGCTCGACTTTTGGTAGATCCTGTATTTATTTCATACAGCAAATGAATTGAAAGTTTAGCGAAATGACATTGTTGCGCGAGAAACACGATACATAACACAACTCGTATTATAGAGATGTAAATGTCACAACAAATATCACGCGCTCCGCAAACTCTTGACATATATCAACGCGCGAAAGTGGAGAAAGGTGCGTTTTCGATATAGAACAAAGTCCTCGTATATGTTAATATGTATTCAAATGCAGTTGCACGTTCGGTATGCACCGTCTCGTAAGAATAATTACGAGAATATTGAGACGAGAGAGAGCGGTCGTTTCAAACTTATGACGATGACAACTTCGTACGTGACATATTCGATAAACGTCATTTCTGGATTTGCACTTAATTTATTATACGAGTCAATTTATTATACGAGTCAATTTATTATACGAGACAATTTATTATACAAGCGTCCTAGAATTACCATTTTTGCAACTATAAGTTCAACTATAAGTTCTATAATTCGAGGCTAATTCCTTTCTTGTATGAGATCATTGCTTGGCATAATTATCTTTAATTTCAAATATGAATTGTTAATACTTAATTTATAATTTCTTTAATTAAAGTTTTTATGTTTAAATTAGTAGAAATGAGATTTCGTTATCTGCTTATATTTTCGAGGATCAATTCACCAAACCGGCTTTTATTTATTGTATTAAAGAACTCGGTTGCTGCTATTAAAATTGCTAGCACGTTCTAAAGTTTATTTCCCATAAATATGCCATTAACATCTATGATTGAAAGAATATCCGGCAATTCTAGAATACGTATTCGGAACAATATTCCCCACAGATATATGTGTCACTTTCAAACCCGTCTTTTAAAATTTTTACACGTTTTCTACGGAAGTAGATCAGAAATATCTCTCTTGCGACTTTCGATGGGAAACACGAAACTTGGAATAGAATTCAGTGTCAATATTTGCCATGCTAAAAATTCGTAAAAATGCGAAACGTTTAAAAACCGTGAAACATCTATGCGATTTTTCTTCAACGACCCTTGACCTTCCTCTCGCGCTCGTTGGAAAGAACCAAAAGCGGTGTACATGCGATATCGATATTCGCGCAACTCGGCAGAAAATCGAATTTCACTTAGTTTCCTCAACGCGCGACCGGAATAAATGACGAAAAGGTTCTCTTCGACACCGTCTCTGTGTTGTTCATTTTCTTTAAAGAAAGAAAGTAGAATTCGGTGTCAGTAATGACCGCTGACTTTAACGTATCATTTTGCGGTACAAAACGCGCACGCCGCTATGCATATTAATGTAGTGAGAACAATCTGTAAAAGTAGAAATCTGAGTTTGCCTTGTTTCCGCGTTTCTCATGTATCCATTTTATTTTCTGGCATTATTTCTGGCAAAGGCAATTAGCAGAAAGATATGCCATAAAAAGTACAAATACGAAAAAACTATATTTATGGAGGAATAGAAAATTTATAAAAAGGTTATTTTTATACCATTAAAATGTTTTAAATTAACGTTATTTTTAAATATATGATTGTTTATAATAATTTATGATAATATTTACATAATATTTTTTAGTAATTTTAAAATAATTTTTGTTAAGATAAATATAATGTAAATAATATCAGTTGCCATGCTTACCTTCATTTTGATTCGACCAGGAATGAGAAAAGCCGCATGTTAGAGTAAGAAAAAGGAATAGCAGATAGACACCTTTCCTAGTAGCCATCTGCAATGAAAAAGAACAATTTATATTAGATATCCAGAAGAGATAGATTTTCGTTTTTATCAGAATTCCGTTCACTCCGTCAACTGTAGAAGACTAGCTAGATGTTAAATTATAAAAAAAAAATTTTTCTCAAGCCTAAAGACAGCTCTGCTTTAAGTCAACGTTAATTTATTTATAAAGTGGCCCTTGGCGCCAGCTCAACGACGATCTTAAAGTCTTCAGTTTTAAACTTGTCTTTGAGGTGTAAAAGGTGACGTAAAAAATATGCGCTTGTATTCACAATAAAAAAGTGGATATAAATTGCAATATTTTTTTATAAATACAAGCTTTCTTGTAATATTATATATTAAACAATTAAGCGATGCAATGAAAGTATTTCCGTATTACTTCAATTAAAATTTTTACATCTTTCCACTCTTTTCATAATAATATATTGTACATAAACTTAAATATATATCAAGCGAGAGGTAGAGCGTATATACATTAATGCAAGATATTTATTTTTACAATTTATTGATATAATTTTCCAGCGTTTAGGAAAAAATGACTTTCTAATTACTTATAATTAGTGAGTGATTTATAGAGAGAACATTAATTGCACCGAATAGAGTTCGCAATTTTTTAGGTTCCACTTTGATATATAGTAATCGTGTTCGCAACAGCTTTAACTTTCCAGATCTGATTACCAGATCGGTGTACATATTTGTCCTTTGTAACGGTACAGGAATATCAGCTTCTCGCGCGTATGCCAGAAAAACTGGAAGTCGTAAGATGATAAGTTTCTATCGACTGTTCTTTTTAACTTTATCTTGCATACTAATATTTAGTAATTTAAAAAAAAAAAAAAAATAATCTCTACGCATCAAATAATATATTTATTATGCAAATCGATAAAATCATTAAAGCAATAGTAATTTATTTCAGAAATTTAAAAAGTTGAATAGTGATAAATAAATATCATTTATAAAATTCTAATTACTGGATTAAAACGAAAGATAATAAATATGCAATGCTATATTATATAAATAGAAATTATTAATTAAAGTTATATTAAATTTAATTATATTACAATAATGGATGTTTCGAAGCAAATATCATTCATGCAATTTGGCGAAAAATAATTTTATTATAAGATGATTTATGGTTGGTTCGTTTAGCTTGTCATTTTAATTCACGATCAATGATTCATGCGTGCAAGCGAGTGCGATGTCTGATACCTTCACGGCATTGATGGATAAATATAAGATATATAAAGGGTTAAGATCCATAATATTTTACAAACATGGATCAACGCTCTTACAACGCGTAGGTGTAAACTTGCACACCGACAAAAAAATGCAAGTAGTACATGTAACCATGAGTAGCTCTATTAATAATGCTTGCAAGTTGCAAAAGGTCAAAAAAGATTTCCAAGCAGCCGTGGAATTTATGAAAATACAGATTCGTAGCTAATCTAACTTGTGTAAGATTATGGATGATCGATAGTTCCGGTAATAGAAAATAAAAGATCTTATTGAAAAAACAATAAAGATATACTTAATAAAACAAATTAATTCACATGAGTTTTCTTTTTTAAAAGGTACGCTCACTTTTTTAATCAAATAATGCACGCTCGCATTGACTGTCACTAGATGCACGCTCGCACCGTTCACTTATCAATTGTTCCATCTTTTATAATTTGCGAATTCTCCGAACCGAACGCACACTTATGCGGTCGAAAGGACTCTCTTTTTCCGTGTTTGTCTCTCTTCGCTTGCTCAATTCAAACTGACTCCGAATCAATGGCTTCTTATTTATTTTGCCTTCTTTTATACTCTAGATGGCCTTTTATGTTTTCGACGTACAGGTGGCCTACCGACTAGCTTACCATATATGTATTTACATATCTCTATTACCTATACTCTTACACTTGTATTTTATTCATAATCAAATGCAAGGATAAACGGCAGTAAGATACAAACAGAGCAATATTGTTTAACACAAAGTGATGACATTTTTTTCAATTCACTTCCTCGCCTTTGCTTACGTTCGAAAATTCCTCGAAATTCACTGAAAGGCGGCGCGCACGCGAGTCATGAAAAACGGGGAGGAACATTGCCCTGGACCTACGTATCTCTTCCTCCTTCGGAAAGGTTCACGCTCACACGCGCGCGAGACAACCGGCTACGAGCAATGTGTACCCGCGAAATCCCGTTACAGTCAGTCACACAAGTCCGACGTATACGATAGTCGCGGACGAGACGGAGGAACGGGGACGAAGTATCGGTGGTACCTGAGGACGAAGTCGCCGCAGATCTTCGGCGGGGAGTGGAGGCTTTGATGGGCGAGACGAGGAGAAGCGATGAAACGAGAATGAGCGGCGGCGAGCCGCTGTGGTCGCTTTAACACAGGTTCACGAAGGCACTGGTGACCCAGTTACCAATTCGCCGTCGTTCTGTCCCATTCCCACTGCGACCTTGTTAGCCCATTAAAGTCTACGTTGTGTCATACAGGCTATCGTCATTTATTCAAGACGATCTAACAGTGAAAATACGCTTGCTTTTGGCATTTCCTCATATTCCGTGTCCTTTGAAATTTTTCCCAACTCCGGATATAATTTCCAACTTTAATCAGTTATCGAAGCGGAGACAAGATATCAGAACTGGGTTTTTCAGATGTCAGAATTGATTTTTTAAGGTCGGTAGAGAGAAATTGGGATGCAGTGGTAGGGGTAGCTGTGCGATTTAAATAGCGATGGCGCTCGGTTACTGAAAGATCATTTTTGACGCAAGCTATGGTCATGATTTTGTGTATAAACGGCCCGTTTGTGCCGCTCTGATTTTTAATGCGATCTGTTAAAGTGAACTCTGTGTGTATCACACACAGACGCGTGACTATTAATCTCCTCGCCTGTTAACCTAAAACTATGATGCATCCGGTCGATTTATACGATGTCGATTAAATATAGCATCATTATGTTAATTTCATTAAACGCGGAGAGATTATGTTAATTAAATTAAATGTACTGGAATTATATTATGCGACTTCTATTCGCATTTTCAATTACGTCGCTTGACTTGTTTTAATGAGATACGTATTTAAATACATATTTCAAAGCAAATTAACGAAATTGCTTATTAATAAACATTCTGCGACGATTACTTGGAAAGAAGTTTGTAAAATACGGATAACAAAGAATAGAATGTACATTGTAGAGGAGGGAAACATGATAAATATACCTTTTTACTTTCATGTATTACGAATTTACAATGCAAACACGATCACGGAGATTAGAGGTACACACTTCTTCTAAGCTAGCACAATGCATAATCATAAATCACTCTGTTAAATACAGTGTTAAACGTTAAGGTCAAACACACACGTCTTCATTGTGCGCCTTCATTATTACCTTGATTCAGGGTCGATCGAGCCACGATAACGTTGTGTCGCTTTAACGTAATAGTTGCACACGTTATACGACTTGCGTCGTGAGAGCGTTACAGCAGCATGTTCCACTGTTAACACTGATGCGATCCTTTCGTTCGCCTTGCGCACTGCGGTGGGTCACTTTCATTGCAAGTATTCCGTTTCCGCGTAACGTTTCCCGGTCGTCGTCACCGAGAACAATCAACTCGATGATTTGTTTGGTCTTCCATTTGTACCAATTTCACTCAATTTCTACTCTTTCACTTTGCTCTTTCTGATTATTTTTTTTTTTTATAAAATATTAATTACACAACAGTTTTTATTTATATCTGCAATTTCTTTCTTGTCGCATACGTTGCTCCGCGTTTTCGTCCCCTAACGCTTATTGATCGCCGTCTCTGCAGCGCAAAAACCGACGATACATTCCCGCGGACGTTACTTTCCGAGCTATCTGCCGCGGCGATCAATGGTAAACGAGTCTTCTCTCCTCTCTTGGCGTGCTTTACTGCCGGCGGAGAAGGTGTATACGGGAATTCTGCCGGAAAAATATTCGCGGGAAAGCGCGGCGGGATCCCACGTTCGCCGCGAGGATCTGCACGACGAGCGTGCAGATCCTTCGTCGAGGAGATCCTTTGCCTGCCTCGACCTCTGACGAGGCGCGAATCAAAGGGATTGAAAATTCTTCCGCGTTCATTGGCCGTCCGTCAATGTCGAGGTATCATGAGTGCAAGGCGTCAAGCGCGCGCACAGATACACATACACGTATAGGATCTCAGGAGAAAGCTCAGTTCGGCGTCTCTTGATTATTGGATCTGGGTGACCCGATTGCCTCACACTCGACGGAGCTTCCTCATCCTCGACAACCTGTCGCGGTTCCTCGTAAAGACCGTCAATGATTGATGTTGCTGATCAACGATCAATCATCACGAGCGCGAGTGATTTATAGCGTCAGAATGTGCATTTTGAAGCGCTAATTTAACGCCAAAGGTCAAGATAAGTGCTCTAATAATTCTTTAATTCTGAATAACTATGTTTAATATTGTTTAATATTGAACTTTTTTATAACAATGACAGCACTTCTTTTACGTTTTTGCGTTTCAAAAGTAATTTTACAATTAAGAAGAAGAGAGAATTTTTATGCCGCATAAAATAAAGTTTTCACACGATTCAATCTTGTTTCCGCGATTCGCTTCTTGCAAGCAAGCGTGCGATTTGAATTAATTCAACAGGTCGGAACATCTTTGGCCTCCATTTTCTTTCCGCGAACGTAAGCACGAGCGTCGATAATCGAGCTGACGGTGATTAGCGAAATAATCTGAGAAAGTAGGAAATCCGTGCCATTCAGATGGAACGCAGAAGTCCGCGAAACTAGACCTAGGACGAGGATGCGATTGCAGACGGTCTCTGCTTTCACTCGATCGCTTAAGACATTTCGAACGCGATCAATCGTGCAAAACCGATTGCTTCCTCTTGTGCTGATTCCTCCAGCTTGACACGGAAGGCATCAGATCCGATGGTTTCGTACGAAACATTGAAAGTGACAATCAATATTGTGCGTTAATATTATCGATGACACGAAAGGCCACGTAACTGTTTGGAGTTTGCGGCGCGATTCTGCTACATTATCTCACTGACACGAAAATTCTATCTTTAATGAAAATTTACATGTACTTAACGAGGTCTAATAGATGTGTTTAAGTATTTTTGTTAAAAATGATTTTAAATAACATTTTCAACAGAACAGAATTTTAATTTTTATCAAAAAATTTCTTTTAATGAAATTTTATGAAAAATTCGAAAAGATTCTTCATATATTTTTTATATGAAATCTAAACGCTGTTGAAGTGTTTAAGCAAGATTCATAAGTAATTTGCTTCTTTTCATATCAGAATATCTCATTTTCTTCGCACGAAATCTGTTTTAATAAAGAATTTCTGCTTGCATGAGCTTCAATTAGTGCTAAAAAACGCCACACATTACAAGCATAAATTTCTTGCTGTAAATTAAGCGGTAAAGTGGTGAAACGTAAAAGCGTTAAATGTACAAATGAGTCTACATGATTGGAAGGAGCGACAACGAACTGTCGAAGCGTCGATAACCGTTACGATCTGCCACCGCATACCTGACTTAGGTACACATCAGGCGTGCACGTGCGTAAATGTGTACGTTAGGCTGAGAGGTCAGCGCGAAAGATCTTTCGCTCGATGAGTTTCTCACCAAGAACATAGAAGAATAGAACATAGACGTTTTGAAAAGTGAAAAGTAATCATTAAATTCATAAAATTAATCTTCCACAATTTGTCTGGAATATTTTAATTTTTCATTTTTTGAGTTTTTGCTCTAGTTAGGAATTTCTGTTAAATTGATCGAAGGATTGAATTATAAGAAAACGATAGAGCAATAGATAATGGTGAGGAAGCGGTAGAAGAATAGCAACATTTTTTACTTTGCTTTTTTCTTTCTTCTGTTTTCCTATCAGTTTGATCATTTCTATCAAAACATAACTGTGTTTACGGCATACGCTGCATTTAAGATTCACCAGTTTCGTGCGTGACGGTTGCTGCGTGCACACTGATTCGCGCGATGCTGCATTCTCGTGACTCAAGTACGCGTTTCACGTCGGTGCATCCCGCCGCGCATCTCGTCTGCCGGTGAACGAGGGCAAGCCTGTGCCAGGTCGCCGATACCTGTTACTTGCGTCATCGATTTGTGTGTCGGCGATCTTCCTGAAACTTTCGGCGTCTAGCTGGAAGAGACACGTCGCGTTGCGCACGCGTGCGCGCACTTAACGACGCGTGGACGAGAAAAACGAGAAGAACGAGAGGGAAGAAGGGAGCGAGAGATTGAAATGCCAGGACGCGATGGAGCGTGTCCGCAGCATGTGTCGGAATGTCTCGATTTGAAGTCGCCCAATGTCGGAAACACGGCTTTCTCCTGTTTCCACGATATGATCGTCCGCGCGATTACGCCAATTTCCCGATCACGTCCTGGTTCCGATAGAAAGATCCTTGACACGCACGTTCCGCTTGCCGATATTGAATTTCATCGCCAATTATTTCGCATTGCACTTTCTCTCGCGGGATTAAGTCGAAATTGTGACCGCGAACTGACGACGCGAATGACGAATCACATTTTCTTCATACGAGCCGTTTTCATAAATATTTATTTTTCTCAACGCGTCTACGCCTTCTTGCTTTAAGTCTTCCGATGATGACTCGATTCATTTAAGACATAATTAAAAAAATGTCGTTAACAAACTTTTTCTGTATTATAATATTAATTTTTTTCAACGCATCTACGCCTTCTCGCTTACGTTCTCAAACGATGACTTGATTCATTTAGGACGTAATAAAATGTCGTTAAAAAACTTTCCATCGCGTAATATTCAACTTTTATGAGAAATTTAGCCATTGAATTTTATTCAAACGACACGTCTCGAATATTTCCCTCGTGGAACATACGTACAATTCTACTTAATTATTTGTATCCGTTACTTAGTCGCAATACTTATTGCAACTTTGTAATTCCCACCTTTCAAAAATGCGTTAAAAGCCCCCGGGTGTCGACAGTGTAATGCATCATAAGGATGAAGCAAGTTGGCACACGAGGGAAATTATCGCGCCTCCGTACAACTAGTCGTGCCATCGATCAAACAACCCCTTAAGGGCCGAGCCACTTACCGTGCAGCGCGTTAACCTTGGATGCAACCGAGAGGGCACGTTAAGCGCGTCTCATAACGTCGCTTTGATTCCGGCAGACGACAAGCCCGCTCTTCCGCGTCCGCTTCCGCGCGCGAGAGGGAAACGCGACCTTGCCCTTGCTGCGGCTGGATCGTCCCTTCCGCCTGGCTTTTCCCGTGCCAAGATCACTGACTTCCTTCGCTTCCGCACTTCGTCACTGAACTCGCTCTCGCCTCGATTCGGCACTACGTCCGCGATCGAATTACTGATCTCTCGATCTTGTCGCGCGCGCAACGGCGTTATTATTACACTCGTTGTTCGTCGGCTCGTCAGGTAGCATCGGACGATGACACCTAGGGACTCGTGAGCACGCGTGACTTTGCTACGCCGAAACCGATCGCGCCTCTGCGTAGGAATTTCCTCTGTGACTCTTACACGCTCGCACTGATCTGTACCGCGCGATCGTCGCGATCGTCCATCCGGCTAGCGAACGGGATGGTACCTGTCTGACCGTCGTACCTTGTGCCACGGCATGTGCTGCTGGAGTCGCATGGTTAAGTCATAAGCGGCGCCTTCGCCGAAGATCGGTGGTGGTGGCCGCCGGTCCGGTAGTGGAGGTCGTTTATGGTGGAGGCAACTCGCGTTCGACGGAAGCCCGATCGAAGAGGTGGAAGGGGGAGAAGGATCGCTTTGGTGAGGACAGGAGTCGCTGAGGGGGCGGGCAACGCGTGGGGCCGAGGAAGAAGTGATATCCGGGGGGGAGGGGGGCGGAGAGTAGGCAGAGAAAGAGAGGGAGCCAGGAGAAACCAAAGTGGGTCAATGGCCAGGTCACATGGAGAAGAACGGGGCCCAACGTGCAGGACGGCGACACACTGTCCTACTCATCCAGCGGCCGCTCTTGGCCGCTCCAGGTTCTCCGTCTGCCCATTCAGGAAATGCTTCGCGATACCGTCGCGAAAATGAGTGTTGCAATGCCTCCGCGCAACGCCTCTTTATCGCGATATTCTTCCGTGGAGAAGATAAGGCTTTTGAATCACACTCAGAGAGTCGTACAGTGGCTGACAAGAGTCGCAACAAGATTGCTGGGACCATTAATTTTCGTTTAAAAATGATTATTAAAAACTCACACTTAATTTGAAAATGATAAATTACTGGCGTGATTTTTAAGACTTTAGATGTTTAAGCGATTCAACTTTATATTGATTTATAGCCGCTTTTAAAGAGAGATATTCATAAAACTGAAAAGAACACGTCGTATAGAATATTACTGCGGGTTCAGTAATGCGCGTGAAAATCTGTTCGCCAAGTAGCCTGCTGAGAGAGTGCTCACTCGTGGAAACAGTTGGATAAATTTCATGGCTAGGATTTCATTCTGCAAATAATA